GTTCGTAGTTTTCAAGTAGTACTACGTTTTCTCTAACAATTGACCGTATTTACAAAATCTCGTATTTTTCGAAAATTAAGGGCGATGGAGCAATTTCACTTTCAGATTCGTATTTAGGACGAGGAACCCTATAAGAATCACCTAGTGGATATCGCGGAAAAAAAATCGTGTTGGACAGTGTAATCAAAATAAAGCATATATGTTGTTTTTAAAATATTCTTTACAATCTTTCAATCAATTTAAGGCTCTATTTTAAGGCCGACAAGTTTTCATTCACAAATTAGCAGAAAGTAGTGAGCATTTAATAAAACAAATGGGATGTAATTGTTTGATACCCGACGCGTTAAAAAATATTTCTTTAGATATTATTAATGAGCGAAATTTCGTATCTCTAAAATACGTATATGTTAGTTTGGAATGTGAGTCGCTGTTAGAATTAGAATCTTTAGAATGTACATTAGAAGTAAAATCAAAATGTTTATGTTTTTATAAAACTGTGTTATTGTATATTTTCACTTATTACACTGTAATATTTCTTTTTTTTATTCATATTTCTACTTCTTTCTTAGGAGTTTTTCTGGAAGTATATATGTGTACATTAATACTATGCAATATTGCTGCCCCACCAAAGACTAACTTAAATTAAAAATTATTTATTTTGCGCCGCCTCCGAAAAGGTTATTTAATATAATTTAATATATAGGAAATACAAATTATTTCGTACTTTATACTGCAGATTTAATATTTTTCGAAGTCGGTTATATTTTTTTTCCTAAAATTTTTTACCCGTGGCGCAAGCCACTTACTCCATGCTAGTGAGAGGGACCTTTTTTTTTTTAATGTGTGTAAATGCTTTACCCACCCCCCCCCCCCCCCCCCCCCCCCGGGGGGGGGGGAAGGCAGGGGTATGCGGGACTTAATCCAGCCTGACGGGCGCCTCAGTCGCTCCCGTCAGCCTGGGTCATATCCGCTGTTACACCCGGCCCTGCCGGTGTCCCTTTTCATCGACATCCCAACTTGGGACCCCTCCCGATTTCAACGGATGTGCTGGCGTTGAGTGTTGACGCCTATTTCGATTTCCCAATTAACGATTTACTATCGGCTACAGAACTTGAAAGAATACGAATTAGCATTTAGCAGATTTTTATGCATCTACGGAAAATTAGAAGCACAAAATACCCTACTCAGAGAGCATTAAAGTTGATAGAAGCCATCTCCAGAGATCTAGGACAGCAACTTCTAAAAGTGTTGGGTACAAGAAGGTTAATGCACATTCCATTTGATGAGTTTGAAAAAGTTATGGGACAGTGTTTCGAAGTATTTAATACGTGGGACGACGAATACGAAAAGTTAACTGGACTATTAAGAGACATTATGAAGAAGAAACGCGACGAACACATGAAAATGGTATGAAAAAGTTAGAAGCTAGAATGGAACACATGCGACAATTCCGTCGACATCACGAGCAACTCAGGACAGTTATCGTTCGAGTACTTAGACCTACGGTTCATCAAAATAATAGTAACGCCACGTTGGAAAATTCTGATAACGATAAGGTTGAATTTGCTTTAAATGCGGCAGATGCAAACGCCATCAACGAAGTAAATTTGGCATACGAGAACGTGAAAGAAATCGATTGCCTTGATATTACCAAAGAGGGTCTTGACTCCTGGAAAGCTGCTGTTCATAGGTACGAAGAACGAATCGAAAGAGTTGAAGCATGAATCACGGCTCACCTCAGAGATCAATTAGGTACTGCGAAGAATGTAAACGAAATGTTTAGAATCTTTTCACGCTTTAATGCGCTTTTCGTGAGACCGCATATTCGGGGAGCTATTAGGGAATACCAGACACAGTTAATACAAAGAGTGAAAGACGACCCTCGTGGAAATGTCCAGATTTCTTCCCATCTGTTTGCTCGCTGATTCCGTCGCAACCCTTGCATAGAGACGCCGTTATAAACGCTTGCGTTTACGTTCACCAAACGTTGCACAAGGCCAACGCTAGACTGGCAAAACGAGGCAGCAGAACCATGGCGATCACACCGCGTCATTACTTGGACTTCATCAATCATTTCGTGAAATTGTATCAGGAGAAGAGGAGCGACTTGGAGGAACAGCAATTGCATCTGAACGTCGGTTTAAGTAAAATCGCGGAATCGGTGGAACAGGTGGAAGAAATGCAAAAAAGCTTGGCTATCAAATCTCAGGAACTGCATGCAAAGAATGAAAAGAGAGACGACGTTATGGCTGATTTAGCACAAGTCGAACCAGCTGTCATCGACGCACAAAACGCTGTGAAATCGATAAAGAAACAACATTTAGTCGAAGTTCGGTCTATGGCAAATCCGCCGGCAATCGTGAAGGTCGCGTTGGAGTCTATCTGCTTATTGCTCGGTGAAAATGCCAGTGATTGGAAATCTATCCGCGCTGTCATCATGAGGGACAATTTTATCAATACTATTGTCTCTAATTTCAGTACCGAGGACATTACCGATGAGGTGAGAGAGAAAATGAAGAGTCGCTACCTAAGCAATCCCGACTACAACTTTGAAAAAGTTAATCGAGCCAGCTTGGCTTGCGGACCTCTCGTCAAATGGGCTATTGCACAGATTGAATATGCAGACATGTTGAAACGCGCAGAGCCTCTGAGAGACGAGCTCCACTCGCTGGAACGACAGGCTGAAACGAACATGCAGAAAGGCGAAGAAGTGAAAAATTTAATCGTTCAACTCGAGCAAAGTATAGCCTCGTACAAGGAAGAATATGCTCAGCTAATTTCTCAAGCTCAAGCTATCAAAGCTGACTTGGAGAGCGTGCAAGCCAAAGTCGATCGTTCTATCGCTTTACTCAAATCCTTGGTAATCGAAAGGGAACGATGGGAAGCGACGAGCGAAACATTCAAGAGTCAAATGTCCACGATAATCGGAGACGTCTTTTGTCGTCCGCCTTCCTGGCTTATGCTGGGTATTTCGACCAACACTACCGGCAAAATTTGTTTAGTACTTGGTGTGAACATCTACAACACGCTAATCTACAATTCCGACCTGATATAGCTAGAACGGAATATCTCTCTAATCTCGACGAGCGATTGAGGTGGCAAGCTAACGCGCTGCCAACAGACGATCTTTGCAATGAAAATGCCATCATGCTGAAACGCTTCAACAGATATCCGTTGATCATCGATCCATCTGGACAAGCAACTGAATTTATAATGAATGAATTCAAGGATCGAAAGATCACCAAGACGAGCTTCTTGGACGACTCGTTCGACGTCGACTTCGACGACTTAGGAAGAATCTTGAGAGCGCTCTTCGTTTTGGCAATCCCCTATTGGTGCAAGATGTCGAAAATTACGATCCGATATTAAATCCTGTACTCAACAGAGAATTAAGAAGGACAGGCGGACGTGTACTCATCACTCTTGGTGATCAGGATATCGATCTTTCGCCGTCTTTCGTGATTTTCTTGTCCACGAGAGACCCAACGGTCGAGTTCCCGCCGGATATTTGTTCTCGTGTCACCTTCGTTAACTTCACCGTTACTAGAAGCTCTCTACAGAGTCAGTGTTTGAATCAAGTCTTGAAAGCCGAGCGACCCAACATAAACGAAAAGAGATCCGACTTGTTGAAGTTGCAAGGTGAATTCCATTTGCGACTACGGCAGCTCGAGAAATCGTTGCTTCAAGCACTGAACGACGCCAAGGGAAAGATTCTCGACGATGATTCTGTGATAACTACCCTCGAAACATTGAAACAAGAAGCTGCTGACATTAGCAAGAAGGTCGAGGAGACGGATAAAGTGATAGCAGAAATTGAAACGGTTTCTCAGCAATATATGCCTTTGTCTCAAGCCTGTTCAAACATGTACTTCACGATGGACAGTTTGAATCAAGTACACTTCTTATACCAGTATTCCCTGCAAATGTTTTTGGACGTTTTCACATCCGTTTTGTCTCAGAACCAAAGACTGACCAATATTACCGATTATACTCAGCGGTTGTCCGTTATTATCAGCGACTTATTCTCTGCCTGTTACGAGCGCGTTGGACGTGGAATGTTGCACACGGATAGATTAACATTTGCATTGTTATTGTGCAGAATACATTTGAAAGGAATCGCCACGGAATCCACGTACAACAGAATTCACGTTCTTCTTGCGGGGCAAAGAAGGCGTTCTAAATATTCGAGGACCTCTTGCACCTAATCTAAGCTCGGAGCAGCAGGAAGCCATGATGCGATTGAGTCTCAGGTTGCCAGCTTTCAAGAACTCTCCGTGAAGATTCAAGAGAACGCGGAGTTCAACGCGTAGTTGCAATCACCGACCCCAGAGACCTGTGTCCCGAAACTTTGGGACGAAGAGAAGCCACTGACTCCTATAGGAACGTCTATGCACCAGTTGTTAGTGATTCAAGCCTTCAGACCTGACCGCGTAACAGCCGCTGCGACTCTGGTCGTAACATCTGCTTTGAGAGAATCCTTCATGGCCGCCGCAGAAGCTGAACTCGATTTTGCTTCAGTTGTGGAGAATGAACTTAAAGCCACAGTTCCTGCTTTGCTATGCTCGGTGCCTGGTTTCGACGCCTCCGGTAGGGTTGATGATCTGGCTGCCGAGTCTGGCAAACAGATAGCCAGCATTGCTATAGGGTCTTCGGAAGGATTCAATCAAGCCGACAGAGCGATAAACATGGCTGTTAAAGCTGGTAGATGGGTATTATTGAAGAACGTTCACTTAGCCCCACAATGGTTGGTGCAACTCGAAAAGAAATTGCATAGTCTGCAACCACACGCCAGCTTCAGACTGTTCTTGACCATGGAGATCAATCCTAAAGTACCTGTGAATCTGCTCAGAGCTGGTAGAATATTCGTCTTCGAGCCACCACCTGGCATCAGAGCAAATCTGCTACGAACGTTCAGCACTATACCCGCGTCGAGAATGATGAAAGCACCCAACGAAAGAGCTCGTCTCTATTTCTTGTTAGCGTGGTTCCACGCCATCGTTCAAGAACGTCTTCGTTACGCACCATTAGGATGGGCCAAACATTATGAATTCAACGAAAGCGACTTAAGAGTAGCTTGCGATACTCTGGATACGTGGATAGAGACCACCGCCATGGGTAGAACTAACTTACCTCCGGAGAAAGTGCCTTGGGATGCTGTGGTGACGCTACTTTCTCAATGTATATACGGTGGAAAGATCGATAATGATTTCGACCAACGTCTGCTGACGTTCCTTCGAAAACTCTTTACACCGAGGTCCTTCGAAGCAGACTTCGCGCTAGTTGCTAACATCGATGCATCTCAAGCAAGTCAAAGAAATATTACCATGCCTGATGGTACGAGGCGCGACCATTTTCTGAAGTGGATCGAATCGCTGTCCGATAGACAAACACCTTCCTAGCTCGGGCTACCCAACAACGCCTCCCTAGTAACAAACCATAACTAACTAAGTTTCTTTTCCCTCCTTTAATATCAAACAGTCACATTGCCCGTGTTCGATGATACATGGATGCCTCGGCTGGCCACCCCAGCAGAAAGGCTGCTCCCGCCGCCTATCCTGGACAACCTAAGAAGGAGGGAGTGCATCCAGGGACAGGCTTGGGTGGGACCCAATGGCACCATCGTCTGTGATGGGTGCCATTGGACCTTCTCAGAAGTAGAGGCACAACAATACGATAATACCAGCAAATGTACATCGGCTAGTGCGAGAAGGTCGTCTCGCCCATGCAGCGGCCCGCTGCCTGGAGTGCCGGAGACGGGCACTCAACAGAAACAACCCGGATCATTGCCTACAATGTGTCGCAGCCATCGGTGCGACACCATGGGCCGAGCTGGCGGTGCGGCCCATGATACAAGTGCCGTCGCACATAAACCAGCCCCTTCCTCCAAGCCCCGAATAATATTATTATTATTATTTTATATTACTACCTTTTACATTATTGTTTTATATTACCCTGTTATATATAATATTATTATTATTATTTTATATTACTACCTTTTACATTATTATTTTATACATTACATTACATTACATAACGCGCATTCCAACGCCTGTGTAACATCTCTCCCATGTCAATACAAAGTTTTATACATAAATGCAAAAAAAAATATATATATATATATCAGTCAGTTATGTAATAAGCGTTCGATGAAAAGGTACACCCTTATTACACGAAACAGCCTCTTGAGACTGTTTCGTGTCTGGCGAAGGGGGTGTTACATCCGGCCCTGCCGGTGTCTCTTTTCATCGACCTCGCATTGCGAATAGTTAAGATCAGATACTTTTAGGAATGCGCTTGACGTACGATTCGGAAACCGTTTCTCAGGAACCGAATCGTGGGATCTGCGAATCAGCGAAATAGGCGTCAACACTCAACGCCAGCACATCCGCTGAACTTGGGACCCCTCCCGATTTCAACGGATGCAAAAACGAAGGTTCTCGAACGCGGCTCGTGCCATGCAAGGATCACCTAGTATATAAACCCGTAGACACGCCCCACGGGGGCTCTTTTTATTCCGCTGTACGTTATCATCGTGGTGATTACCGAAATCTTGTAGTCGCGGACAGGTTAACTTCACGCGTTGTCGTTACCTACGAAAGTCCGACGTATAATCGGTTAAGATCACATCGAACCTTTATCATCAATCGAACACGCACTCAGCGTCGCGCTTTGGTCATCAAATACTAAATTATTGTAGTCACGGATAGAGTAATCGTACGCGTGCCGCGTCGTTACCGAGGAAAGTCCGTTGTTAATTAGTAGAGACTCGTGTCGCGAGTGATAGTTGCCGACAAACAGATCCTTGCAACAGCACAGCCCTGGGACCACAACAGATAGCTGGTACAACCAAACTGTAAGACCGACAAGCGGTAACGTACCTGACTAATTGTATACTTGATTTCCCAAAACCGATATTGTAATATAAACTCGTTATTTTGTAACAATATATATTTATATGCTAAACCTTGGAAACAATCATTGCAATCCCGAATTGCTCTTTCCCGTTAGCGAATACAGTTAAGGTGAGCTTTAGCTCTTTAATTGAAGACAAAGATCCCAAGAAAGAGTCTCAGATAAGCTGGGACGTAACACCGCTACAACCACACACACACCTCGTAGCTGAATGGAGACTGGTTGGATCACGCGAGTACTACCCCCCCGCTGTCCTTTGCCAACAAAACCCCGGGTGGTGTGACCCGCCCGGTGCCCCCCTCCCATGAGAGCCTTCGAATCGAGCTTCCTGAGTCCCCGCTCGGTCCACCCGCAGCTTCTGGCATCCTCGTGTCCAGCCCAAGGCGAAAAACCCCCCAAAAGAGTCTCCACCCAGGTCAGACCAAGAGGATGCCTAATCCCGGTATACAGGGTGTAGCAGGACGGGTGGTACAACCCAACAGGGGGTGATACTACATGTAAAAATAAGTCGAAAAAAAGGAATAACATTTTTTCGTTTGACGCTTCGTTTTCGAGAAAATCGAGTTTGAAAATTTTATACAGTACGCGTGGCACTGGACTGTCTCCCCAAGTCATTGTTCGCTACAAGTTTTCTTTTGCTTACATGTTGTAATGTTGACCTTTCTAATGTTTACATTTTGTCTTCAACCATACAACCCTCTTCTACTTTTAGTCTGTTTCAATCAGTCAAGTTGTGACAATGTCTACTTACAGCAACCGCGAATACGTCGAAATGATAAAAGCTTTAGGAGTTTGTCATGGAAATGCAACAGCAGCAGCTGAATATTATAAAGAACAATTTCCAAATCGTCGTCTTCCCCACAGAAGAGTGATACCAAAGTGATAACAAAGATTAATTGAGCATGGATCTTTTCACAATTACCATAAGTTTGGTGGCAGTAGGAGATCTCTAAATTTAGAAACAGAAGTTCTTAATACCGTTGCTAAGAATCCTAAGATAAGTATACGAAAACTTAGTGCTCGTCATAATACCAGTATCAGAACTGTTGTCGCATATTACGCGATAACAAAATGCACCCGTATTCAATACTCGGAGTCCAAGCACTCGAACAACCTGATCGTTTGGCACGATTAAGCTTCTGCGACTGGCTGCTTCAACAGCATGATAACGATAATCAATTTACATCGTACATTTTATGGACAGATGAGTCAACTTTTACACGAGATTTTGCAATTAATCGATGCAATATACACTGGTGGTCATCTACAAATCCGCGCATAATTCAAGAAAACCACTTTCAAAGGAAATGGAGTATTAATCTATGGACAGGAATAATTGGCTCGTACATCATAGGACCATACTTCCTTCCAAATAAGCTGAATGGGGCAGTTTACTTGTTGGGGTAGTTTTTACGTGAAGAACTGCCGTCATTACCGACAGACATACCTTTGTCTATTGTACAGAAATTAATCTTTCAACATGATGGAGCACCACCTCACTTTTCACGAAATGTACGGCAACTTTTAAATCAACGACATCAATGTTGGATAGGCCGGGGCGGAACAATAAATTGGCCGGCAAGGTCACCAGACCTTAATCCACTCGATTTCTACTTGTGGGGCCACGTTAAACAGATCGTGTATGCAGAAACAAGTGAGAATTCTCTTCAGCTGAAGGGAAAAATAATAGATGCTTTTAATCAAATAAAATGTCGAAATTCATTGGCGTCAGTTCATGACTCACTAATAAGGCGAGCAATGATATGTACGCGTCAACAAGGACACCACTTTGAACAGTTTATTCAATAATGTTATGTAATTATCGTTAGTAATGATAATAAAATTAATAAACATTAACATTTCTTATTTATAATACATATCTAAGCCTACAGGCGGTCCAGTGCCACGCGTACTGTATAGAATTTTCAAACTCGATTTTCTCGAAAACGAAGCGTCGAACGAAAAAATGTTATTCCTTTTTTTCGATTTATATTTACATGTAGTATCACCCACTGTTGGGTTGTACCACCCGTCCTGCTACACCCTGTATATATAAGAGAGAGCCGTCGGACGTGCGTTCCCGCACACCTCGGTTCTCTCCAACCCTCCCCCCTTGCCCCACGAAAATTATGTGGGGTGGCCGATGCCCTAATCTGGCGGAACTTACGAGCGCCGGTCCACCCCGAGGGAAGCAGCGCTTCCCTCAACGGACCGGGGTCAGCTGACACCCCGGTCCCCCATTCTCCTTGGCTAGTGAGAGCGACTTACTTCTTGTCATATCATGCGCTCCTGATACGACCACGGTACGGCCGCGGCTTATTCACTGTCGTAAACGCGGTTTCGCTTACCTTACCGCGATGTACGAAAGTGCAACCGTTTTCCAGATTCAGAAGTTGCAGCTACGGATCGCATACGATCCTCGGTACATATTACCACCCACCGGTGGGTGGACAGGTCTAATAAGACTTTGCACCTTTTGCACCGTAGCGTCAGCAAAGGAACTGCCGACAGTGGCTATCGTTGGTGTCGGCCACCGAAAACAGATAAGACGAAACCTAAACACCTAGGAAGGTGAAATGCCATGAGAACAAATCAACCACCACCCATGGAATTTGTAATAATCACGTGGTATGATTTTTTCTCCTACCTTCGGACCAAAGTCTGTAGGTAGTTGTTCGGTATCTTTGCTCGAACAGAATTTTGTCGAGTTGACAGAATTAACGTAAGACATTTCCTACTTTGCAGATGAAGCAAATACCGATGTCTAAAGGAAACAAAGATTTTTATGTGAAACTGGTGAATCACAAGAAAGTTAAGAAGTCTCGCAGTTCGAAACAGACGAAGCACGAAGCTTTATAACATATTTATCGCACGTATGTCAGCGGTGGCTCTATGTATTCCCATCTTCGGAGAACAATTTGGACGCCAAAATTTCCAGGCGGTTACGTCTCTCCGCACCACGTCGCTCTCCGTGGTGGCCAACATTGTCAGAGAGACAGAAGAGAAAGAGACAGGCGAATCGTATTGACGTATATCGATCTTTTTGGAATCCAGACAGTCCTCGATAATTCGCTAGGACAGTAATTTTATATTATGCGCCGCCCCTGAAAAATGTGCATTGCATTTAATATAATGTATTGAATAATTTAACCAAATTCATCAAACGACGGTAAATAACAATGAAGTTTAAATAGAAATTATATCACTTTTCACTGCATTTTCCCATACTTTTAAGCAATTATATCTAGAGCTAGTGCGTATTCATATAAATTAACTTGAAATTATTTTATGCTTTTCACTGTACCTTTTTTGAAGTCGGTTAAATTTTTTTTTCGAAAAAATTATTTTATTTCACTCTTTTTAGTGGCAATCTATAACTAATAGGTTTCATGCAATAACAATAGTTATGAGCAATATACAGGATGACCCAAAAATGTTGGAGGTCCTTGAAAAGGGTTGTTCCGCGAGTGGGGGGGGGGGGGGTGAAACCATTTTTCTTAGCGAAAATGTTGCTCGAGGTTTCATTAAGGAGATATTCCAGAAACAGAAACTCCCGACCAATCAGAGTGCGAGTATGCCGGAGGAGCGCCTCCGGAGCCTATGCTATCGCAGGCGCTTCACCGGCATACTCGCGCTCTGATTGCTCGGGGGTTTCTGTCAGTATCTCCTTAACAAAGCCTCGAACAACATTTTCGTTAAGAAAAAATTGTTTCAAATCCCCCCCCCCCCCCCCCCAAAACACCCCATTCAAGAACATCTAACATTTTTGGGACACCCTGTATTGTTGCAAATGGGATTATCAGGAATACATGTGAAAGGATTGATTGCGTTTAGTAAATTCCTTATTGAACTACACCAGAACATAGCAATTTTGCACCAACAATGGTTTCAAGCAATGAAAGTGTCCATACATTTTTGCAAATGGGGACATCACGAATTCATCTATCATGAAATGCGAAAAATTCCATCTCGATCAGTTAATTCCGTGCCGACTTTCAGCAAAGAAAAGGAATTTTGCAAAAGCAATAGTTATAAACAATTAAAAAATTCATAAATTTTTGGAAATGTGATCATCGCGAAAACCTGTACGGCAGCAAAATGTAAGGGATTTCATCGATTTCAGGCCAAACATACGTGAAATAGTACGCTCTTTGCGATAAAAAGTGATATAAAGTGGTAAAAAATAAACTAAGGATAAATGTTTTGTTATGGGACCAAATGGCAAATGCTCTTCTAGATGCAAGAAGTTTCAATCTGATTGGTCCATACGTCTCGGAGTAAGACGCAAGACAAAATTTTTCTGTTTAAAAAAAAAACGGGTAAAAAATGACAAAGCGCAAAAAGTCGTGATAATGGGACCACCGGGGGGGGGGGGGGGGCATGCTCTACAAGATGCAACAGAATTCATTCCGATTGGTTAAGCCATCTCGGCATAATCGGTGAACAGACAAAAAAAAAACATGTCGAATTGAGTAACCTCCTTCTTTTCGAAGTCGGTTAAAAAGAAAATTTCCGGGTGATATGCACACTCGGGAAGCGGAAACGACTTTTACAAGTACGTCGGCACAGAAGCTGTCGACGGCGAGGGACGAAAAAGTTAGAGTGCACGCGATTCACGGATATCGTATTATTGCCTTCGCTTCTGTTGTCTCTGCGATCTCACAATTAATCATGTGTCGTAAGTGTAATGGAGATATTCCATTCGGTGTATCCAGTGCTCAAGGCTTGGGTTTCAAAATATCTATACAGTGCAAGTGTGATGTTCAATATATTAATTCATCCCCTTTAATCGATAACAAATCGTATGAAGCAAACAGGAGGATAGTTTTTGTAATGAGACTATTGGGAATTAGCAGAGAGGGAATCAATTTATTCTGTGGCTTGATGGATATATCCCAAGGTCTAATTCAACCTTGTACTACGCCACCATGAAGAACATCCACAGTGGAGCCAAAGCTGTATACGATATTATTGCGAAAAAGGCAGTGAATGAAGAAAAAACAATGAATGCTGAGAATGTAAATCCACCGATAGACATTTCTGTGTCGGGAGACGGAACGTGGAAAAAGCGAGGATACAATTCATTGTTTGGAATCGCAACTCTTATCGGCAAATATACAGGCAAAGTAGTTAATCTTGTTGTGAAATCATCCTACTGCCATGCTTGTAAATTATGGGAATCACAATTCGACACTGAAGCATACGATGATTGGTTCGAAGAACATAGCGGCGAATGTACTTCAAATCACAATGGATCAGCTGGTAAAATGGAGGTTGATGGCATTACAGAAATGTTCCGACGATCTTGGGAAATCCATGAAGTGCGTTACGCTAAGTACATCGGCGATGGCGACACAAAAACGTTCAAGATCTTGTTGAAAGACAAACCTTACGGTGATGATATGATAGTGACGAAGAAGGAATGCGTCGGACACGTTGAGAAACATATGGGCTCAAGACTGAGAAGTGATAAATTAATAAAAGAATTGATAATTTTCTATGGTTTGGCCATCAGAAGACATCCAAAGTGGGCAACGTTCTACCACAAGATCTCGAGGAACGAAAATCCCCAGCATATGTACTGTCCAGTAGGATCACAATGCTAGTGCAAGTGGCGCATTGCCGAAGCCGAGAATACACTAAATGAATTCGATCATGAAGCTCCACAGCATGAAGATGTAGAAAATGCTATTGAGCACATTTATAACGATTTGTCATCGAGGGACTTGTTAGAGAGGTGTTAGGTGGCGACACTCAAAACAGTATTCTGTATTCTGCATGTTTATTAAAGTGCTATGGATAACCTCCATATGGCACTCAGGTACATTGTAATTTACATAATTATTTACAATGCTTATAATTAATAATGAAGTTATAATAAAAATACAAGAAATACTCTTCTTAACATTACGTATAACATCTCTTATAAATGTATGTAGTTGATTTCGTATCAGGCACAAGTTTGTATTAACAGTTTATCTTATGTTTTAGGTGAAATTTTCCATCATAAACTAATTATTTGTAAGCGGCTGACCTTTCTCATTGAAAATTGTACTATTTATTAATTATGTATTATTATATATAACATTATACTTAAATATACCTTAGTTTCCTAATAATACTAATGGGGTAAATTATATAAGGAGAACTAAAAATAAACAGGTAAATAAAACCAAAAGACGTTATACATTCTATTGTGATAGCCATTGTTCTGATGTTTAATACATCTTCATAGCTCGCAGCGAAAATAAGCCAAAAACATCTTTTATGTTACTGGGATTTATAGCAAAATAATTATATTTATGTTGAAATTACAGTAGATAATAACAAAACAAAATAAAATATTCCTCAGCAAGGGAGGTTTAAGAACAGCCGCTTCCTGTTTATTAACCTTATCTCTAAGCATTCTTATTGTCTAATTTGTTAAAATTCGCTTTTCTTAGTATATTTTCAGTCTTTACATCACAGTCTTTGTGTCTTTGGAGTTAACTTTACTTATATTTGTAATTTGTAAATTGTTAACGTCTGTTAATGTATAACAGTCTTTTACCTATTTCGTTTAGGAACTTAACAATTGTTTTGAAGATTTTTACTTTATCAAGCTTGATTAGTTCTATGGTTGAATTTCCTACTTTATCTATTTCTTTCCTTAATTTATCCCAGATAATATGTCTTTCTGCATTATACAGACAACAGTCGAATATTACGTGATCTATACTTTCCTCGTCTTGGTCGCAGTCGCACATTGGATCCGAAATTATTTTTTTCCTGGCAAGTGATTCGATTAAATTGTAGTGGTTAGATCTTATCCTCGAAATAACCCTTATCGTTTCCCTGTCCAGGGAGTATCTGTGTTTATAGAACCATGGTTTGAAGCTTCTCGTATTTAAATCTGGACCAATTTTATTAAAGAATTTGACTCCTTTATCTTCCCCTGATATCTTCCCCTATGAGTCTCATGTTTTCCTTAAATGAAGACCAGAACTTTTCCTTAACATTCATTAGAATGTCTGCAGCCGGTGTTTTAAACTCCATATTTGGGAGATTGGTGGTTTCTTCTTTGGCTCTCATGTCCGCCAGTTCATTTCTCATGATACCCTGGTGAGCCGGGATCCATCCGATGACAATTTTGCCTCTTATGTTGTCTATGCATTCCTTCCATGTTTTAAGCGTCCATGGGTTTATTTCCTTATCATTAATATTTTCTGCAATTCCTTCCAGTGCTTTGATGGAAGAGTACGAATCGGTGAGGATTATACAGTTATCTTTATTCGTACTATGTTTATAGTGTTTTATGGCTTGGTAGATACCAATCATTTCCGTTGTGAAGATAGTAAATTTATTTAATATTGGCAGTCCGTATATCGTCCAATTGTTGTTATCATGTATTGCTACTCCTATACCGTTTGAAGTATTCCCTGGGATTTTGCTTTCATCTGTATATTGGGTTATAGAATTATGTAAATTGATGTTATATTTGTCACGTACTGCATATGTTCTATTTGGTTATACGGAATTGCTTTAAGTTCTACCAACCTACCTATCTCTGTGTCTAAGAATATACTTTTGTTGTATACAGGACTTAGTCTTGTAGCGCAGTTACTGGACCACAGTTCAATACGTTCATCTATAAAGTTTCTAAGAAATATTTGATCTTTAAGTTTATATATATCGTGGAAGACATGTTCGGAAATGCTGGGTGAGATATTTACATTATGGTACCTTGAAGCATCAGAAAGTTCCGGATATTCTTCTTTTATTTTGATAAATAAATCTAGGATGGGGTTTTCATCCCTGCCTTCTTCAAATTGATGAACCCAGTATTTATTGGCCAGGTATCTTGCCCTGTCCACTATGCTGATCCATCCAATCTCCGTATATATTACGTTTAATGGAGTCGATACCCTATATCCTATTGCTGATCTTATTGCGTGTGTTTCCAGTTTCTTGAGTGCTGTTTGGGTGTCTCTTTGGTCATTATATGTTAGATACACTGGGGCACCATACTCTATTATTGATGATATAATAGCTCTAATAAACATCAAGGCATAGTTTTGATTGATACCCTTGTTGGCGTGGCACAAGTATCTTATTATGTTGGTTCTTTTATGTACTTTCTCAGCCAGCATCTTTAAATGGGTACTAAAGGTTAGTCTATTATCTATGTGGAGACCTAGGAATTTAGCATGTTGGTCGATTTGTATATTTTGAGATTGATTATCAATACTTACTTGTATATCGTTTGAACTGAGTTGTTCTCCATAAAATAAAACTTTTGTTTTTCCTACAGACATTGTAAGAGCCCTAGATTTTAAAAATTCCCCGAGGCGATTCATCCCTTCCTCAATTAGATTTTTGGTTTGTGCGATGTTGAACCCCGATACTATTTCCGCGATATCGTCCGCATATTTTATGTAGGTTACGTTGGGAATTTGAATGTTCTTGTTAATTCCCGTTATGTATAAGTTGAATAATACCGGACTGATAATGGATCCTTGAGGGACTCCTATCTTCCATGGAATGTGAGCTTCCTTTCCGTCCAGAGTACCAATTTTGACTGATCTGTCGGTGAGCCAAGCTTTAATCCATTTGATGATTTTGTGCGGGCAGTCAAGGTTCATAAGAATGGATAGAAGGATATCGAAATCGACATTGTCGTAGGCACCCTGAATATCTATAAAGGCAATTGCCGTATTTTTATGTTTCCGACCATTGTTTTTAATTTCAATGATCACTCTGTTTAGATTATCTACTGTACTTCTTTTACTCCTGAAACCCGATTGAGTGTTTTCTATTTTATTATTTTTCTCTGCCCATGCATTTATTCTGGTGTTTATTAGTTTCTCTAAAATTTTACCTGCATATGATGTTAAAGTTATCGGTCTTAAAGTGGCTTTACCCGGTTTCTCCATTCCTTTGGGATGGAGAAGGTGTTCCAACTTTCTTTAATGATTATACATAGGAGACTTTTCATAAATGCTGGTAACTCGCTGATTGTTTTATAATCTATTCTATCGTCGCTAGGTGCTGAATTTTTATTTTTTAAGCTACGAATTGTCAAAAGAATTTCTGTATTATCAATTTCCTGATTCCATATATTATTATCGTTATATGAATTATAAAATGAGTTTACCTTTTCTGCTGTTGTGGTTTTTATATAGTCCGATCGTGTGTTAATTTTAGTCAATTTATCTATTTCAGCTTGTTCCAGTTCTAGTCTTGTTTTAGGATTTAGTGTTGATCTTTCCTTTGTATGTCGATTTACAATACCCTTCATTTTCCTCCATATTTTTCCAATGTTCCGTTCCTTGGAGATGTCGTTGGTAAAGTCGAGCCAGGCTTAATCCCTTTTTTTCTTGCTTCATTCTTTGCCATTTGATTCTATTTGCCTCCATTATTTGGTAGTCCTCCGGCCTGCCTGTGTTCCATAATATTTTAGTGCTCCGTTTCCATTCCCTCCAGGTAGATTCGCATTCTTCGTCCCACCACATATTTTTAGTTTTGTTGCACCTTCTCCCTGTATTTTGAGAGTTGGTATTATGTTTATTGCGGTTGTTTCTTTTTTTTTTTTGTCTTTGCTTCATTCATAGTTTCTATTGTCTCTATTATATGCTTATATCATACCTTATATTTTCCATCTATATCTACCGCGTTTTTGAACTCTTCAACAATCATATTAGCTTTATCCTCTATGAGCTGTTTAAATGTTATCTAATTGACATCATTTTTATCTTTGTATAGTCTATTTTTGCTTCTTGCTATACTTTGTTCTTGTTTTTTTAGTCCAGTATCTTCGTCTATTTCTATGTTAAAGTTTAAAATTTGATGGTCTGATCCTAGACTTTCTTTGGATTCTGCATAATTAATCCATCCTGTTAAATGTGGGGGTATTATTATCAGATCTATATTTGACTTGCGGTTTATGACGTTATTGGGGTTGAGTCTGGTGGCGGTGTCCGAATTGTTAACCACCAGATCATACTCCATCAATGCCTGTTTCAAATTCTTACCTGAGGTGTCTTGGGTGGAACAGTTCCAATCTGGGTGTTTGGAATTGAGGTCACCAACAATAATTGTATTTTCTTTAATTTCTAGTTCATCGAATAACTCTTTCCATCTTTTAACACTACAATTAATGCCAGGATTCCTGTATATTATTATAATCTCGTAAATACATTCGTTTGTGTTATTCCTAATTTCGAGTTTTAAATATTCGAATATACCTGGGAGGTGTCTTTCTTTAATACATTTAACATTCATTTCTTCTTTATATAGGACGAGTAGGCCTTTACCTGGTGTACCATTTCTTTTTGTGTTGTTATTTGGGGTAACTGTATTATGTATAGCTGCGTATCCTCTTATATTTTGATATTGCCAGTCTTTCATCCAAGTTTCGCATCTAGCGATGAGATCATAATTATTTATAATTTTCATTAATTCCGGTATTCTTTCCCTAAGATTGTGTGCGTTCCATAGACCGGCTCTTATAATATTTCGCATGATCTATAGATAAGTGTGTTTGTTTTATTTATTCGATAAGGTTTATTGATTGAAATAAATGTTTATGAGTTACACTGTAATAAGTTTGTTAACTAATTGATAGGTTTTTACTTTTTTGTGGATTTTATTATCAAGCTTCTTTAATATTTGTTCCCTTTCCGCGCTGTTTAAGTTAGTTAGTCTTTAAATATGACAGGTGAGGTTATGTTCTCTGTCAGTAAAGTTAACAATCTTTAATTTGAACTAAAAGTTATTATTTTTAATACTGTAATATTTAGTTTACGAATTTAACTTAGAAGCTATAACTTAGAATTAAATTAACAATTAACATTTAGCGATTGGTTATACTTATTGGTGATAGAAATTACACGTCTTTTAATTTTTTAACTAGGCTTACAAAAAATCAATTTTCAGAGGGATTTTTTATCTACTATTTGTCAGCCGCTTACCTTTTGTTGGTCGTGTTGAAGTCTTCTGGTACCGTAAGGGGGTAGTCCTCTGGTTCGATTTGGGACTCAGGTTCCATGATCATTCCTTCTTCTACTTTCCCGATTTCCTCTTCGGTACCTACATCCCCTACTTCCATAAATTGGATTAAGGGAGGAGATTGTCTATCTCTTTCACTGGTTGTCAGGTGATCCGTAGTTTCTTGGCTCGTAGCTGTCACTTTGCTTTGTACTGAGCCCTCCCATTCTTCGTCTGATAGCACATTTGTTGCAGGTGCTTGATGTATCATCACGTCCTTTGACTCCAAGGTTATTTGTGTTTCGCGTATTTGCCTTGGCGAGCTATCTCTAATTGGTCTGTTCACTTTACCTCCAATTTGTTACTCTTGTCTTCTAGAATATTGTAGGATTTATT